TTTTTTTTAACGAAAAAAACTAAAGGATAGTGTTATCTTACCAATAATCCCTCTTTCCAGTTTTACCAAGTTACGATTGGGAAGTGCTCTCTGTGAAATAATAAATTAGTGACACTTTAGTAATAAATACTTTTGTTTAGCAACAACTTATTTTATCGAAATTTAACGCAGTAACCGTCTTTTAATGGTCTTAGGTTAGGTGCAGATTTTCCACATATTTAATAAATTTCCTGCTCGGTTTCTTGCTTTTTTTCCCGAAATCATTGGGAAGTGTTCGAGACTTACTATCAAATAACAATACTGAATTGTCCTCTCCGAGATCAGCCCTTCTACAAACTGACAAATATATGTTTATATATTTACCCCTTGTTTCGTTTTTAAGACAAGAACTGATTCCGACAGGCCCAGAGTTGTTAGGAAGAACAGAACTAAGGTACACCTCATGGTCCTTTAAGATATAAAACAGAGATCAGTAGGCTACATATCACAACTGCAACAAAAACTGTACGTGACTTTAAAACTCACTTTACGATCAGGGCCTCCAGACCCGGAAAAGGATAAATCTTGAATTTATTCCTCAAAAATTTCACATTTTTTTCCTTGTTCCCCAACAATACTGAATTCTATTTTTTTTTTTATCCTCACATTTTCGTCGAAATTTCCATTCATAGCAGAGATATCACTTGTTCCCTCAAATTAATCGATAAAAATGTTCTTTTTTATCCATCAGTTGCAAAAAATAAAAGATCATGTTCTCTTGTTTCCCCAAACCCCTCTATACTTTCTTGGGCGTTTCCAGTTTAAAAGATTTTCCGCTTCCTGAAGTCTACACTGCAGAAATAAATTAATACTTAGCAAATTAAAGGTTGTTAACAAGCTTTCCTCCTCTTCGTAAATGTCTTAATTGTGCAGGACTAAAACGAAATGATCTAAAAAGTTGCTGTTATGCAGTGCTGTTTCTCAAGTTCCCTGTGCTAAGCATATTTTATGCACACTTATTTCTTTCGCAAAAAGAAAAGCTTTAACGAACTGGCTGCCTCGTATTGGTACACCTAAGGGTGGGCAGATATCACCTACAGATTTGTTACAAACATGACTTACAATACTGGAGTTTTCTCGGCTAATTTCTTGCGTGATGTTTCCCTTCTGAGATGAGCTAAGCTTCCTTACAGGCAAGCCGCATGTGAAGAACTGAACTGGTGGTACCCGTGGGTTCCAGTTGCCCTTTAAATAGGATCCTTGAGGATATAAAATTGACAGATGAAAGTTAAAAACAAAACAAAACAAAACAAAAGAAAAACAAAAAAACAGACAAAAAGTTAAGAAAAGTATTGTTAAAGTTTAGGTAATACAACTCTTTGTCCAGACATGCGGGCACTAGGAACTCGAAGACAGCCCTTAACAAATTGCATTCAGAAAGAAAACTTTTTAATGTTTACCGAGAAATTGTTTTGTAGAAAAAAGAGGAAAAGATGTTGTTAACTTTACTGATGTAAATTATAATTAACTGAAGACCAGGCTTACAGACGTGGAGTGAACTTCAACAACTGTTCTTACATTTTTAAGCTGTTTTGCAGGAAAATAGCATAACGTTCACAATTTGAACAAATTAAAGAAGACAACAGTCGTCCAGAAACAGGCTTTTCAGTTACCTCTTAAACTAAAAAATCCTTTTATCAAGCTTGGTTTCTTCTAAAGCCAAATGGAATTGTTCAAAATTACAAAGTAAATAATAGCAAAAATTGTTCATGTCAGCTTTTCATTGTCTTTGAAGTGGCGTTCACATGGCACATATTGTTCAATAAGTTATCAATATGTTGCTAAAGAAGACATAATGTGATCTTATACACGCTGTTCAGAAATTAAGCAAAGCAGTGCCAAATGAAAGGAGAGTCTTACGAAAACGCATGCGTGGCTTCTTNCTAAAAAGTTGCTGTTATGCAGTGCTGTTTCTCAAGTTCCCTGTGCTAAGCATATTTTATGCACACTTATTTCTTTCGCAAAAAGAAAAGCTTTAACGAACTGGCTGCCTCGTATTGGTACACCTAAGGGTGGGCAGATATCACCTACAGATTTGTTACAAACATGACTTACAATACTGGAGTTTTCTCGGCTAATTTCTTGCGTGATGTTTCCCTTCTGAGATGAGCTAAGCTTCCTTACAGGCAAGCCGCATGTGAAGAACTGAACTGGTGGTACCCGTGGGTTCCAGTTGCCCTTTAAATAGGGTCCTTGAGGATATAAAATTGACAGCTGAAAGTTAAAAACAAAAAAAAACAAAACAAAAGAAAAGACAAGACAAGAAAGACAAAAAAAACAGACAAAAAGTTAAGAAAAGTATTGTTAAAGTTTAGGTAATACAAACTCTTTGTCCAGACATGCGGGCACTAGGAACTCGAAGACAGCCCTTAACAACTTGCATTTAGAAAGAAAATTTTTTAATGTTTACCGAGAAATTGTTTTGTAGAAAAAAGAGGAAAAGAAGTTAACTTTGCTGAAGTAAATTATAATTAATTGAAGACCAGGCTTACAGACGTGGAGTGAACTTCAACAACTGTTCTTACATTTTTAAGCTGTTTTGCATGAAAATAGCATAACGTTCACTATTTGAACAAATCAAAGGAGACAATAGTTGTCCAGAAACAGGCTTTTCAGTTGCCTCTTAAACTAAAAAATCCTTTTATCAAGCTTGGTTTCTTCTAAAGCCAAATGGAATCGTTCAAAATTACAAAGTAAATAATAGAAAAAATTGTTCATGTCAGGTTTTCATTGTCTTTGAAGTGGCGTTCACATGGCACATATTGTTCAGCAGTTACAGGAAATGCAACAATAAGTTATCAATATGTCGCTAAAGAAGACATAATGTGATCTTATACACACTGTTCAGAAATTAAGCAAAGCAGTGCCAAATGAAAGGAGAGTCTTATGAAAACGCATGCGTGGCTTCTTTAACAGACGAAATCACACACACAGCTGCCCTTGTGTCATCCGAGAACTTTTAAACGCCGTGCCTAGGAATATTTTAGAATAACGAGAGGGTCTTTCATACACATTCGACAGTTCTTAAATACCATCATAACGATTAAGAAACTGTTAAAACGAGGTAGTTCGATATATCTTTCACTCTTCGAGCCTGTTCAGTCGTCCGTGATATCAAAAACAATTTTCAAAATGGCGGACTACTGAACAGGCTCGAATTACCCCGATAGAATTATTTTTAGATCCAATTACCACGACTAAACAGTTTTTATATCGAATTACGTGATTATATTTAACGATTTTTGTATCGAGTTACGACGATTAAACAGTTTTAATATCGATTAATTACCACAATTAAACAGTATTTTATATCGAATTGCCGCGGTTTAACTATCAACCGATTTTAAGCGCGTCGAGTCTGTATAAAAGACGCGATGCCTTGCTCTATTTGTAATCGCATGTTTGGGCATTACAAACTAAAACAACAAAGAGGATATTACACGGCGGTCCAAAGATACGAATTTTATTCTCGAGTCGTAAAAACAATATTTTACGAAGGAGCACAGAGTGGCATATTTTCCAGTAAAACACTCGTGTCTGTAGTATGTTACAAAGTACAGCAGTTAAATTGTTATCTAGCTAGGTGCTTTGTCATTTAAATTAAATGATTCATTCATTCATTCGTTCGTTCGTTCGTCAATTCATTCATACCTTATTGTTTAAACTACACAAGAACACATTTTCCTCAAAAGAAAACAATTCATGTGACAAATTTTATTTGTCCGTTCATACAACAAAACATAAAACGTTGTTTCTATGACGAGTTTCCTTGTTCAAAAACAGTGTCAGGTTGTCAACGAGTAGCCTTAGTAGTGTTTGTGTGCAACGCACAACACGTGAAAAGGAAATAAAATCTTCGTCGTTTTGGGAAATTGTCTTGTTTATAATGTATCGTGGTTCAGAAAGTTCTTTTGAAGGACCTTTTTACTAGTTTACACAAGTCCGTAGAACTTTTGAATCTACTTAGGGTTAATAAGATAAACTTGTTCGTTAAAACAACCAAAACAAAGGTTGTCAAGATCACTTGTCAAGGAAAAAGAAGACAAAGAAGGCAAAACTTGTTTCATTTTAACTCATTTGGTGAATAACCACTACAAACAGACCGATGAATTACGCATATAATTTAAATGTGTCAGCTGTCGGAAATTTTCTTATTTACTTCTTGAGTGATAACAGTATAGTCCAGTCTTTTTGTTCAGTCTGCATTTAAAAGGCTGGAGCGAGAAAAAAAAACACAAGTGACAAAAAGTATTTGTATTTTCGTATTCTAAAGTGTGTCACATTCTACAAGGCAGAATTTAACGGCGAGAATAACAAAAACCTGTAAAACATTTCCCATAACTTTAGTTGAACGGCTTTAAGGTTACAGTATACCTTCAGATCGGCAATTTTCTTCAAATTTGGATTTTTGGTTCAAACTAATGGTCGAAGAGTAATCTCTAATTCCTGAAAACAAAATTGAAAAAAACTCAATATTGGCGGAGAAATGGAGGTTTTACGTTGCGGCCGGAAGTAAAAGTTCCCTCTTGATTGACAGCCCTATAACG